AAAAAAAAAAAAAAAAAAGTAGTTGGCCATGATTTTATAAGTTAGTTAAATTCTAAGAATAAAGATTTATTGTTGTTTAGTTTTGAAGAACACACGACTTTTACTTCTTGCCTACAAATAGGAAGAAACAAAACAGTTGTGACGAGGATAAATTTGTAAGTAACATATGTCACAATGGACGTAGCAGCCGTTAAGGAATTGCTCAAGCAGCAACAAGAAATTAATAAGAAATTGTGGGAAGATCAGCGAGCATTTTTCAAGGAAATGTTGGTTGGGCGCGTGTCAGATAGTCAAACTAATGCTGTACCTGCATTTCATGCATACAAAAAGCAATTGCATAGTTGGGAAACTTATTTGGAGCAGCTTCATCAACACTTTTCAGTATACTCTGTGGACAAAGGTAAATATAAATCATTTTTTCTGACCTGGATAGGCACAGAAACTTATGACATTTTGCGCAGTAACCTTGGTTCAAAGGGAATAGAAACTAAAACATATGATGAGTTAACAAAAGGTTTAACAGATTTTTTTCTGGCAAAAACGCATTTTGTGGCTGCCAGACATGAATTTCATAAATCCACAATGCGTTCCGATCAAACTTACAGAGAGTGGATCACAGATTTACGCAGAGTTGCGAGGGAGCGTAAAATTGTTTGCAGCGCATCAGACTGTAATCATGATTACACTGAGGAAATGATTCGGGACAATGTTATAGTGAACACACCACATGATGTTGTTCGAATAAATGCACTACAAAAAACAAATCCCACACTCTCTGAAGTTATGTTAATTGCTGAGGCGTTCGAGTCAACTGAAAAGACAATTAACAAAATCAAAGGGAAATTAGTCAAAAAACAAGAACAGGAAAGATAACGCAAAGCAAACAATGCAAGAGAAGAGTTGCTCGTTAAAATCTTGTTCAAGTTGTGGAATTTTACATACGCGGCAAAATTGCAAGTTCAGGAAAGTTTTGTGTAGGAAATGTGGAAGAAAAGGTCATATAGCTTCCGTGTGTATGTCTGCTAAAAGCAATATCAATCAAATAGATCAACAAGAAACAACAAATTCGGAGCAAAACTCAATATCACAAATTAATTCAATTTTGAATGTGGGAAATCTGCCGCAACGAGAAAAAAAGTGTTTATAAACATTCTAGTTGATAATACGCAAGTTAAATTTCAGATGGATTCTGGAGCAACTGTTTCAGTGTTGACGCAAGACACTTATGAGCACTTAAATAAACCACAGCTGTATCCATGTAAAAAGGAGCTATTTGATTATGGAAAAAACAAAATAAAGACACTTGGTGAATTTTGTGCAGTGCTAAAGTGTGGAGAAACGAAAAGAACAGCAGCATTAGTAGTAGTATGCGTCCGGAATGGTCATAATTTGTTTGGCACTAATCTATTTGAACTTTTTGGATTTGAGATTCGTCAAATTCCCGTTATAAACAATGATTCTCAATTGAATGAAGTATTGGAGAAACATAGAATTCTTTTTGAACCTGCTTTAGGTACAATTAAGCAAATTAAGGCCAGGTTGCATTTAAAACAGGGCGCTCTACCTAAGTTTTGTAAAAGTAGGCCGATTCCATTCGCACAATTAGAAAAATTTAAAACAAGCACAAAGATTAACGGATAGAGGCATTTGGAAACCGATAAAATTTAGTCAGTGGGCTCCGCCAATTGTATTGGTTACAAAACCAGATGGGTCTCTTCGCAGTTGTGGTGATTTCAAAACTACAGTAAACAAGCAAATCGATGTTGATCAATATCCGTTGGCGATACTTGAGAGCTTACTTCATATGGTTCGATATGGGAAATTTTTTTCTAAGATTGATTTGAAAGATGCATATCTTCAAATGGAGTTGGATGATGAAGCAAAAAATGTGTTAGTTGTCAATACACCGCTGAGGCTTTTTCAGTACCAGTGTCTACCTTTTGGTATTGCCAGCGCACCTGCGTTATTTCAGAAGTATTTAGAACAACTTATACATGGTACAGAAGGGCGTGGAAATTACATTGATGATATCATAAGCGCTGCTGAAACGGTTGACATACATCTTAAACGGCTGGAGGAAATATTATCACTTTTAGCTGAAAATGGCATTCGTTGCAGGCGAACGAAATGTGAGTTTTTGGTGGAAAAATTGGAATATTTAGGCAGAACCATCAGTGCAAGTGGTATTTTACCTGATGAGAAGGGTGTTCAGGCTGTAAAGCAGTTACCGCGACCGAAAAACGTAAAAGAAGTCGAAGCGTTTCTTGGTAAAGTAAACTACTATCATAACTTCATTCCAAATTTTTCACAATTGGCTGCGCCTATCAATCACTTACGTAG